CCCACAACCGAGGACACCCCCATATCAATAAACAGGGGTTTATTAATCTGGGATCAACATTACTCACTTTCTTGCTAGGTCCCCCTGCTAGGTGCCCTTTTACCGCCCCTTTTTTGGTTGGGAGCGTTCCCCTACCAAAAAAGACAGAACTGAAAACAGTTGGTACCCTTAGTCTAACCTCTCCACTGGAGGACTTAGACATGGACTTTGGTCGCTTTTTGGTAAGATCATCTTGGCGTGCAAAAAGCTCAGACTTTTGGGAGAACCACATGCGCCAACTTATCGCCAACACTCAGGGAACACCCAGAAAGGACTCCCCGACCCGGACCGCCCCGACCACCCAAGTCACCCAAGCCACCCAAGCCACCCAACCCACCCAAGCCACCCAACCCACCCACGCACCCAACCCAACCCAGGCTTTTTTGGGAGCGCAGGACGTCAGAGGCCTTCCAGGGTCTGCTGGACCGCCTGGCGCAGCAACATTTACAGGAGTGGGGAGCCCCGACTTTTTCAAGCCCCGCGTGCTGCGGGTCCTGCAATACCCTTCCTAGGTCTGATGCGTCCGGCGATCCGATGGGTGCGAGGAGAAGCGACTTTTTCTTTAGAAGACCATTTTAGTGGTAGATCGGTGATTTGTGTTGGCCAATCTACTCAGGAAGTGAGTCAGGGTCCCCCAGCCCAGGTGCCAACTTTCTCACCCAACTTTTTTGGGGGAGGATTGATTTCCCTACTAAAATAGTAAAAACAAAACATGGTATCCTTATTCTCACCTCTCTACTGGAGGACCTAGACCTAGCTTTTCGGGCGACAAAACTTGGAGGAGAATAAGGATTGCAAGCAAACACACTTAACCCCACCATGGAACGCTTTTTGATTTACCACTCAGGGTTCCCGATAAAGTGGTGTCATGCATCACCTTGCCAATTGAACGAGGCTCCCTATAGGCTCCCTTACGGGACACGCCGCAACCGACACCCACGTGTTCTAAGGCTGGGCCGTTTGAAGCAGCTGGTGCCGCCTTGGGCCGTCTTCCCACCGAAAAGGGTTCCCCGCTTGGTTTCCCGGAAAAAAAAAGAAGAAGAAGAAGGTGTCATGTTGTTTCCCCCTCCCCCCCCAAAACAAAGAAAGAAAGAAAGAAAGAACAAAACAACAACACACACAGACAAAACCAACAACAAGTAAACAAACAAACAACAACAACAAGCAAACAAAAGCACGCGCGCGCCACCCCTATTTCATATCCATTTTGGAGAACCCCTCCCCCCCCGGGCCCTCCGCCCCCCCCCCTCCCCCCCGTCCCTTTGGTACTGAGCACTGAGTAGGGTTGTGGGATCACTCGGGGTTTTTCCAACCACTTCTGTGATACAAGTTGGAATCTCCCCCCCAAAAAATGGGGGGTGAGTCTTTGAGAAGCCGGCCCTTTTTGCTTTTTGCGTCACAGATTCGTGGATTCGACTTTTCACCCACCGCCCTGGGAGGTGTGTCCCAAAAAAACCAAGACAGCGCCCAGCAGGACGCCCCTGGCTGAGGCTCCTGGCGGCGGAGCTGGGGTCCTGTGGCCTGGGCATCTCCGAGGCCTTCCCCCGCCGCCCCGGCGGCTCCAGCGCCAACGTAGGCGCCGCCGCACCCGGCGGAGTCCGGCGGAGTCCGGCGGAGTCGGTGGGACGCGTCCGATTTTTTCTTTTGCCTTTGTGATACTGTGGATGGTTGCGAAATCCATTTCGCACCACTTGGAAACCATGAAAAAACCATTGTTGGTTGGAATTTACAGGAGAATCGAATCATTGTAGGGTTTCTTGGGTGGTGCAGGATTTTGTCCATCCACAGTAGCGCGCAGTGCCTGTTCGACTTGTTGGGATTTGTTGGGGTGGAGGGGGAAAGAAGGAGAAGGCCCCAAAAACAAACGAGTCAGTGTTGCGTCCGATGCATTGGATTCGATCTGCCGACTTTGAGAGCGAGCCGGGGGGTATGACGCGTTGAACGGCGGCGCGCGATTCGCGACGTTCTTTCTTTCTTGTTTTAAATGTTTTTTTTTGTCCCGCAAGCTGCAATGTCTACTGGGTTTGCTGAGCAGAACTGCGCGCGGTGAATGGCTAAGAGATGCAATGAGATGCTTTCCATAGACATATTTTGGCATCTCATCGTCTCTTACTTTCATGCTTCTATCTCTCCTCTCTTAACCCGTTCCCATTCATAATTCCTGCATTTGGGAACGGCATCGAGAGATAGATGAAAGAGGCCTGCCGTAGAGAAGGGAAAGAGATGAAGAGATGCTGTATCTCAGGGAAATCCACGGCGTGGCACAGATAAAGATACGAAGATACTGTGGATGGTTGCAAAATCCATTTCGCACCACTTTGAAACCATGGGAAACTATTGTTTGTTTGTATTTACAGGGAATCATCATTCTAGTGTTTCTTGGGTGGTGATTAAGAGGATTTCGCAACCATCCACAGTATAAAACACTTTGCTGGCCTGGGGCGTAGACGAGGTCACCATGGCAAAGGTCCTATCCTTTGGGGGGATCCAATTCTTAATTCGGCGTTTGGAAATATCGTAAAGAACGCGGATTCGAGGGAGTCGATGGAGAAAGAAACCGAGTGGCGCCGTTTTTTCTTTTTTTTCTTTTTTGTTTCCCCGTTGGAAAGCAGAGAGGAAAACTGTAATTTGCTGCAAATACTGTTTGAATTTATCCTGGTGATTTTAAATGGAATCTATCACTATTGGAGATATGTTTAGTTTTTTCCAGGGGGCTTAAGCAAATGGGTTGATCAAGAGGTCCGTAAGGCATGGGGTAATCACCAAAGCGATTGGACTAAATCACCACGTGGGAGAAGTTGTCCATGCTCATTTTGGGGCCAGCAATATTGAACAGCACCCCAAATTACCGAACTTGTTCTGCATGCTCGCTTGTTTTAAGACCCAGCCTTTTAAGAAATTCCGGTGCCCTAACAGCACAACGAGCTAGACACCATGCCTTGCACTTGCCGTTCGAACCCTTAGTGTATTCACACTGCTTGGGGAACTATTACAAAAAAAGCCAGTGGTGGCTCGCTTTTTCCCAAAATCCATTGGCAGCGATGTTTGTCCGGGAGGTTTGCTCATACATCTTCGCCCTTGTCTTTCTTGTTTGTTTTCGGCAGGAAATAAACCGGGGGTTCCTGAAACCGTTTGCAAAGTACGTGGAGTCTCCATGACCCTTGAAAATAGGTCCATGACCCCATCGCTTTAGGTAATGACCAACCATCTTTAAAGGGTCATGGAGACTGTAGGTAAACCTCCAGCTGGATGCTTCATAAGGGTCATCTTCGCCTTGCCTGCTGAGAATTTCTCGGCCAGTTTTCGGGGAGGAGAGCCGGAGTCGGGCAACATGTGGGCGCAGAGGGGTTGGGGGGGTGGTTGAGAGACCCTTCTGGGGTTAATTCAAAAGGCGGCAGGGAGGCCGAAGCCACTTTGGAGACGATGGGAGTTTCTCTAAATGGGATTCGGACCCACACGTGACACACCCAGTGAACCAACCAGCTCTTGGAGCCCTTCGGGAAGCCAAAAATGAGCAAAAAGGAGGTCAACAATTACTCAAAGTGATGTTCCAATATGGCTGTGGCTCAAAATTTGAACAGGGGGGGGCTACGCAGGTTTTGGTCCATGTTTCCACTTACCAGGGTTCCATGTGATTTTTTGAGCCACAGCCATATGTGAAGCCAAAGGGAGGTGACTTGAACTCCAATTCGATGAATTGGAGCCATTTGCGCCTTGCCCCAGATCTGGGTCTTTCGGTCTTTGGCAAAGATACGCGTGCCCAAAATAATCCTCTCGTGTAAGCGGGGCCGAGAAGTGGGTGTCCAATCTTTGCAGCATTGTCCCCCCTTTGAGGTACGGAGGCTTAGACTCCAAGGTAGGCTTGGACGTTCCACAGTTGGACTCTGGTCTGAAATCCAAGTTCCTGAAGTCGAATGTCTCCTTTTTGCCCAAGCCCAAGCGGGCCGTAGGCCCGCTCACTGGTGGCTTTTAGGGAGCAACCCATTGAGGATCCTCATAGAAACCAGGGGCAGGTTGCAGGGTTCCGGCGATTGGTCGAGCTCCGGATCGTCGCGCTTCTCTTTAAATGGGTGTTCCTTTGCTTTCCCTTTCAGCCAAGCAAAAATGGCACCGAGCCTCAAACAAGACACCCGGATCTATACAACCAATACATATATATATATATACACATGTATTATCATGTGTATATATATATATGCATACACACCATATATATATATATATATGTTTGTATATCTATATATAAAGTGCACACACACACACACACGTCTTTCTTGTTTCCCTTGAAACCCAAACGAACAGCTTCGCCCCCTTCGCCCCGTCTTTTTTTTGTTCTCGCCCCGCCCGCAGAGTTTTCTCCGCCTCTCCGTCGCCGGGAGGCTGTGCCTCCGCAAGCTCGGCGGATTTCGTGAAGAAGAAGGGCTCCATCAATTCCATCCGCGCCAAGCGCCGCAAGGAGCGGGGCTTGCCGGGGGGGTGGGTGAGGGGGTGAGTGAGAGGGGGGTGGGGGGGGAGGGGGGCTTGCGGGGAGGGGGGGAGCTTGCGCGGCCCTTTGTTTGCTAAGTGCCCTTTTTGGCTTGATGGGCGTTGGCATACTGTTGAACTCGAACAGCTACCCGTGTCGAATTGTGACAGCCACAGTTGATTGGGGCCAACCCGGAATGACCCGAGCATGGCCAATTGAGGTTACTTACCCCTTGAAAAGGTCACTTACACTGTCCCCCCTGCATGAGTGTCATTCGCTTGTCGCTTCGGCTCGATTTGCCCAGCGTCGGTCCCCCCTCGTCTGATTTTTAAATTCGCATTCACGTGTCGTTGCGGCTCGATTTGCCCGGACTGGGGAGGGATCTGCTGGGGAGGGCAACCCTGAGGGTCTAAGTGCCCTTTAAATGGCTTAAGTAACCTCTTTGATTTGGACCAAGCGACCTTATTTTCAAAACGGATCATAGCACCCAAAAAATGAATCGAGGGCACTGAAAAGAAGCTGGTTTGTTTTATTATTTCCCGTTTTGGTGTCAAAGGGAATCGATTCACTACTGAACATATTTTTTCAGCTTTTCAGGGGGGGCTGAAGCACATGGACGTATATGGCGGGATATGGGGTGGCGCGCGGGGTGTTTTTGTGGCGGAGAAGGCACGGCGCGGAAGCTGTGGGCGATGGATTTTTGCCGTGGCGAGATGTTGAGGGGATTTTCGCGCACATGGACGAGGAACAGGAGTCAGATGTGAGTCGCGTGTAGGTTTGTTCGTCAGAGTAGGGGGTCAGGAAGAAACATTGGGAGAAGATGCAGATGGTGGAGTTAGAGGTGCGAGTTAGAGGTTAGTTAGAGAGAGACGGGTTCGAGGTTAGGGCTAGAGGTTAGGTTCGGATTAGAGCTTAGAGTTGGAGGTTTGGGTAGAGTGAGAGGTGTGGGGCTTAGATGTGAGGGTTGGAGGCTAGAGCAGAGGATAGAGGACAGAGTTAAGGGAAAGGGTAAGAGGTCAGAGTAAGGCAGAGTATGTGGTCTGGAACTTGAAAGCCACACCTCGTGATAGGAGCAACCTATCATGATGTGTAGCCCCCTCATATTTTCTTTTTGCGGGGGCTTCGTTTGTGATGTTTTACGGTGTTGGGGCTTTTCTCACCAAAGGCTTGAGTTGGCTAACCCAACGAATCCAAGCTCCTAATGGGACTGCCCTGGTCGAGTGGGAGTTTGTTGGCTTTGTCCCGCGAAAGTCGAAGGCGATTCAAGTGGGGCAAGCTCCAGAATGGCCGTTGCTTTGGTTTGTGTGGAGTTAAAGAAGGCACCTGCAGAAAGGCGATGACAAGTGGAGAAACACATGATAGATGATACCTGTTCAGGTAAAGGAACTGATTTTGACAACCCAGGGGGGGGCGGGGGTGAAGGGGAACTGATTTTGACAACCCAGCAACGATCAACCTCATGGGCGCTCAACGTGTGTCCAAGCCCGCTAGTCTCATGCCTCTCTGAATTCCAGCCTGTTCAGATGGCTTCCGCACGGCGGTCAAACAATACCCTCCCTCCAACAATCGGCGGGGTTTGCGAGGCATATGTCCTTACTTTCATTTTGAGGAACCTCCCCAAGACCACTTCCATTGTTGGAAAGAGGCTAGGATGCCGTGTAAAGGAGCCCTTTTGGACCAACTCTCTGAGTCTTGGGAGCAACCGTGTTGAGATCCTTCTCTAGCGAGAAGCTGAAGATGTGTCTCTTTTGTTTTTAGCAAGCGGAACGGAGAGTTTGCACGTCAAGGAGGAACTCCGCGTCGAAAAAGGCCATTAGCTTTGAACCGCATCGCTCGATGGGAGGCTGGCGTATACAGACACCTACTATCGCCACTACCCTTTTACACACATATCCGTCACAGAGGCATACACAGGAACATATCAACCCGTAGATGCATATAGCTCATGTTTTCTCCTAGGCCGTGGCTTCGGAACCTTGGGGTTCTTTGCTGGTTGCGCGGAGGGTGTTTTTTTGGTTTTTTCATTTTGCGGCAGATTGAGCCGCATGCTTTGTTCCTTTTTTTTTTTCTCGAGGAGGCGACGGAAGTGCAAGCAAAAGAGATCTTGGATGCTCGGAGTGTGCAGAGCCACAAGAAAAGCGGGAAGGTTATGGCCCTTGGGTCTCCAGAATCACATGGTCAAACAATTTATGGTAGTCTAGATATGAAGCAGGTTGTCAACCAAATATGAATCTGAATCAGAACCTCTTATTTCCGGTGTACCCCTTTTTTGTGACTCCTTGGTCTGTTACACCGTGGCTTCCCTTGGTCTGAGGTGGCAGTTCGTTGCAGTTTGGGTGCGCGAAGGGGGATGGTTTCTCCTTGTGGTGTTCGGAGCTTTTGAAGCCTCCAGAGCTCAAAGGAACTGCTTGGAGCTTCTTTCTTTTTTGCTTTTTTGCGGATGATGTTGGAATGGTAGCAGCAGTTGGTAGATAGTTTTTGTTTTCCAAAGGGCAAAGCTCAAGGCCCCCAACCCCAAGAAAAGATCTGCCTGGAGTCTCCATGACCCTGACAAAAATGGGTCCATGACCCCTTAATTTGGGCGAATGACCAACCATTTTTTAAGGGTCATGGAGACTCCAGGGAGCTCTTTTTTGCGGATGAGGTTGGAATCTGAAGCAGGCTTCCTTTCAATGAATCCAACAAGCGGTGTTTCCCTCTGGGCACCAATGTCTACCTTTGGGCTTGCTTTGAGTGGGAGAAAAGCACCTGGTCAACAAATGTCTGGAAGCAAGACCCCCTGTTTTGCTTTGGGCGGGATGCCGGAACATACCCCAGAGACATCTTCTTGTGGCCTGCCGAAAATTCTGATATTTGTGTCTTTCCTTAGAGGGGACCCCCCCAAAAAATATGGTTTCTCCTGTTGGTTTCCCTTTCAACCCACCCAAAACATGGGTATCCACTAAAAAGGACGAGGCATCCATACTGTGATGAACGAAATCCTGCACCACCTAAGAAACCCTAGAATGATGATTCTGCAATCAAGAAACCATGGTTTCAAAGTGGTGCGGTCTCGGATTTCGTAACCATCCGCAGTACTGCCCCGAAATGGAGTGACTTCCCCCGGCAAGATCCCTAAGCCACCTTGATAATCACTTCTCGACTCTGCTTCCGGGCAGAAAGAAGTCGCAATCGGGAAGGTTGGTCTCTGGGATTGATGTCGGACTTAAGGCAGGAGATTCTTCGACTCTTCCCTAGCTCTGTGTTTGTTTGTGTTTGTTTGTTTGTTTCGTTTTGTTTTGTTTCGTTTTGTTTTGTTGTGTTGGTTTGCTTTGTCTTGCTTGCTTGCTTGCTTGCTTGCTTGCTTGCTTGTTGGATCTCCCAAAATTATTGGCCGATTTGTCCGAGTCCTGGCCGGGGATATGTCACCAAGCAGCCAAAGGGCACCGCGCCTGCCCACCCCCCACCCCTCTCTTCTCATGCCGTGTCTAGGCGGGTCTTTGGTATGACCTTGGACCCTTGGATCTCTTTGGAGTCTTTTGTTTGGTTTTGTTTTGTTTGTTTGTTTGTTTGTTTGTTTGTTTTCCTTTATCTCTCTTTTGTCTGGGCGTATGTTTTTGTTTTTGTATTCGTTTTGATTGGGCTCGCTTGGTTTTGCGCGTCTTCATTTGCTTCAGCTTCCAACTTCCGAGGATGTGTGGGAAGGGGATGATCCCGTTGGCATCGAAGAGCTGGAAATTTATGCGCACCAGCTGCAGCGCGAGGCGCGCTTGGGACCTTGGGACCTTCACTGGTGACCTTTGCCCTTGTCCAATGCTTCTGGCCGCAGCGCCTACCATGACGCTCTGCCGTTTACGATTGCCATATTGCTGAGCGCCCTGGTGCTAGCTGCCAGGGACATCTTGTGTATTGAGGTGGTTTCTGAGGAGCTTGGACCGCAAAAAGGCCAACCCAGAAGAAAAAGAAAGAAAACTCCGGCGAAGGCCCGAGCTCGGCTGTGCCTTCGCTTGGCATTTTCCCGTCCGTCCTTTTGTAACATGGACCTCAGGAAGAGGCTCAAGAAGTAGATCCCATTGACATATTTTTGGCTTGGGCTCCATGCAATATCCTTGAGCTGGTTTTTCCAGGGAAAAAACAACAAAAAAAACAGCACCTCAAAGGGGGGTTCCCCGATTTTGACACAACAAGAAATATGGGTATGTCTCAAGGTAGGGGTGCGCCCAAAATGGGATCTTGATTTGCTTTTAAGAGGTTTCCTTTTAAGCAACCCTAAAAAGGGTACCCTCAAGAAAAGCCCCCCCCCCCCCCATTATGGGCCTTCTGTGATAGCTGCGAAGGTGGAGCGAGCTCAAGCACCGCAAAAGGCAGCCGACGGCCCCGCGAGGCGCCCGGTTCACTCGTAGGCAGTTCACCTGCGTTCAATTCGGGTTTCATCCAGGTGCCAGTTGGATTTTGTCAATCCACATGCTTAGGTTGATTCCCAAAAGACGATATTTGAGTCCTGAGGGTGATTTTCCGTCGCGGCTGCAGTCTCCTCCAAAATGATTTGGGACATAGGTTAGTGTTGACGAAATATGAAGCGCAGTCAGACAATCACAGAGGGTCCAAGTACTTCATGAGGATGGCTTTTGGGCGGTAAAAAGGTGTGTAAGTACCTCCTTAGAAGGTACTGGGGGACCCTCCGGGAATGTATTTGTCTGGTGTACCCTGGGATTGGGTCAAAGAGTATCCTCAAAACAAAGAAACATATCCGGGGGCCCCCGCTGAGAGGGGAACCGGACACCCTTGCACCCAACTCATCCAGCTTGCTCGTTGATGCTGTGGATGGACTAAATCCAGTTCGCAGCACCTAAAAACAATGGAATGGTGCTTCCCATGTAAATGCCAACGCACAATCGGTTTCCCATGGTTTCCAAGTGGTGCAGGATTTCGTCCATCCACAGTACGGCCTTCATCCTTTCACATGGGAGCAAGTCACTAGAAAGTTAGTTTTGAGAAAACTAACTATTGGCTTGGCCTAACGTTTGTTTCGCCAGGACAAACAAACTTATGGCCGTCTACGGAACCTTTGTTTCTCTGGAGAAAACAAACGTTTCTTCCGAACTCATGCTTATATTCTTCTGTCGCATGTGCAGAAACGCTGATTTCCAATAGAGGAACAAACGTTTTCGGTGTGAAAGGTTTGTTTCTGTCTCAAAAGCCATTCTTCCTGTGATCGTTTGTTTTGCTATGGGAAACTTCTCGGAAACCCGGGAATGGCTACTTTGGAAACTTGGAAAACAAACGTTTCGTCGCAGAGTTTAGTTTGTTTGTTTTCTGGGAAACTCAAAAGGAAACTCACGGGTAGAAGGTTAGTTTCGCATACCAAAACATACTTTCCAGACAAACTATTGTTTCAGGGCTGAAAACAATCCTTTCGTGAACTCGGGCTGTGAGTTTGTTTCATTGCACGCAGACTCAAGTTTCGGAGGAAGGTTTGTTGTGTCCGCCGAAACGTTTGTTTCTAATCTAAACCTGTGTGTTTGGTCCAGGCAATCGTTTGTTTCGAAACATCTGTTTTATTCGGGACGGCCACTGGCACGTCTCCGGCTCCGCCACAGCGACTGGCTTCGCCACGTTTGCGGCTCCTCTGCAGCCACGGCCACTGGCTCCGTATGAGACCGATATGCGGTGTTTGTGCATGATGTATGCGGCGTCCACGCATGATTCCTATGAAATTGTTAGACTTTCTTCGTCTTGCTGTGCATGTGGCATGCGTTGCACTTTTGATGCAGCCGGTATGCAGATGAGTGCCGAAGCTGAGCTGGAGCGGAGCTGAGCAGATGAGAGCCGGATCGTCGCCGGGCCAGAGCCGGAGCTGAGGCGGAGCGGAGGTGGATCGACACGAGAGCTGGTTGGATGGGTACTGGAGAAAGCGCGCGATTTGCAGGCAACGGTCACAAAGCCGAGCAACAGCCTGACAGAGAAGCGGGGGGTTGGGGGGGGCCGCAGCCCCCCCGATTAGAATTGGAAAAGCCACGAAACCCTACCTGAGGCCCGTATACTCTTCTTTTTCCAGCACCACTTGGAGAAATGATGTTTTTGTTTGAAAATCCTTGCGCCAGACCGGCTTTTCAGCACCAGAACGGCTTTTAGAACAAAAAGTTGGTTTTGCAACACACATGTTTAGTTTTCCGTAAATTGTACGAGATGCGAACAGTTTTGAACGAGTTTTGAACGCTTTACGAGTGGTATTTCCAACACCGAATCCTAGGCACGGCCCATGACATGACGCACACTGGACATCACTGGACTACGCGAGAGTAACGCAATTGCTGGGCTCCGTAACAAGCGACGTCAGCAACACAAGGTTCGGTTTGCTCTAGCACCAGTGTTGAGATTTCCACATTAAGAAGGCAAAACAATATTGTCCTGAAAAACGATCAAATTCAACATTTTTGGGGCAGCGGGTAGTAGAGAAAGCACGCGTTACTAACAAGAAAGCAGCACCCTCCACCCTTGCAAACAACAATCCGCCCCCCCCAACCCCCAACAACAACCCCCCGTTGTTGTTCGAGCATCCCCCCCAACCACAATCCTGAACAAGTACTCCCCCCCTCCCCCCGCATTGATCGAAAAATCATACCCCCCCTCCCCCTCAATAACAAATAGCAAATCCAGCCTCCGCCAATATTGTTCCAACAGGTATACCTCCCCCTCCCCACACAACAGTTCCCGCTGCCCAATGGTTCTTCTCCGGGGGGGGGAAGGGGTTGTTGGTTGAGAGGGCTTGTTGCGAACCATGATCCAGCTTATTCAGATGGTCTCTGGCTGGGGGGGCGCAGTCTCCGTCACAAAAAGGGCGCCAATGGCACAAGAATGCGGCGCAATACACGCAACTTTGCGCAGATGAACTTAACAACTGCCAAGCCACTCGGTGGTGTTGCTGGTGATGCTAGGGGTGCCATTTGTGATGCTGGCGATGTCTGGCTGCACGTACCCAAGAAACTAACAAAGTGTGCTTTCCGACCCTGGAAACATTAGTTTCCCATCGCTGAAACAAACCATTTGAACTGAAACTAACCTTTCAAATGGTTTGTTTCTGGGCGCCTCCTTCCCCCGATGCCAGGAAGGTTATAGTTGCCACCTGAAAAACTAACTTTTCCGGCTCCAGAACCTTTGTTTTCGAGCCCCTCAACTAACTTTTTTCCGGCCAGGTGAACCTTTGTAACTCCTTGAGAAAACAAACTTTCTTTGTCTGAGTTAGTTTGCCGGCCCTGGCGCGGCCGGCGCCCTGTCACTGAGTTTCACTCAAAGGGTTTGTTACTCTAGTTAAGAAACTTCTGACTTGCTCCATACTCCATCCTTTGCACCGCGGCAGTTTCATTCGCCGGCAAACCATGCCACGGACGTGCTACCAGGGCGTCGGTTTTGTGGTCCATTTGTTGGTTTTGCAATCAAAGGGTATCGGCATCTCTGTTTGGCGGTCTACCGATTCCAATGCGTCAGCATCATTCAAGATCGAATATCTACTACCGTAGATGGACGAATTATTCAATCCCTTGAAGATGAATCTCCCCCCCCCCACCCCCCAAATCTCAATGTTGGAATTGAAGGGCCTCTACAAATCCTTCTTTTCCAACTCAGTGAGGCCATCCCGCTAGGCCTTGTAGGGCCCAGGGTCCGAACTCGCGTACCTTCGCTAAACGGAGGCGCCGGGTGGCGGGTAGCGGGTAGATGGGTCTTCGGGGGCAGCAATCAAAAAAAGTCCCGAAACGGTGCAGCCTTCACCCCTGTGGAACTTGCCATGGGTTTGGGATATGGGGGTTGATCAATCTTCCGATCAACGCCTGGTTGACAATAGCTTCTCTCATGTGGACAATATCATTTTCGCGGGTGCCCAACCAATGGTCATCCCATGTAAATGACGTGTTGATCAACCCAAATGCCGTATTTTTCCGGTTACCAACTGAAGGGGTTGGCAAGAAACTGTAGCTTGCAGACAACCATCTGTGTAGCATCAATGGAACCCATTGAA